ATGTGTGCACTAGACTATATATAGAGGGACTATCCCCCGTACTAGAACCACGTCTTAGCCATAGTCAAACAACGACATCCCCAAGTTTCTAAAATTAACAAGTTATGCAACAACGCATATATCAACAGGAATATGTAAGATAATCAACTATCTACTAAGCACAACCAAATTTGGAAACCTATACAATACATGCTCTAAATCCACAACTAATATGATATGATGAATGTCGAATCTTCAGTGTGCGATTCGTTACACGCTATGCATGAAAGATGTTAAACACGAAGTGTGCAAATCATTACATAAGGCAACAATATATTCAATAAGGAAAACATATTATCACGAATACAAACATAGCAACTATGTTATCCAATGTTCAAAACATAACCAAATGAATATACAACAAGTCTAAGTCCATGATTTGAATATAGAAACCACTTCTAAAACACAACTAGATCATGGAGCAAATTGAAAAATTTAATAGATAAACACAATTAAATTCTCTAGATTCCGATTCAATTCCAAATAACCTCAATTTAATACATGTTAAAGGACATGGTATGGTCAGCACCTATATCCATTCTAAAACTCAATTAGGTTGTTGGAACAACAAAGTAGAACTTTAATTAAATCATGCTAATTTAATTACTAAGGTTCTAAAACAATTTCTAATAGTCCCAAATTAATATATACTAGGAAACAAGTCATGGCCAATACAAATATCAAGTTAAAACCTTAATTAAGCTAATGGGGCCACAAAATAGATTTTAATTAATTCTTTTAATTAAAATCTCTTGATTTTCAAACTTAACCAAATGCTCTCAATTTAACATATCTTAGAGAATATGCCAAGGACTAATGTAATATCTCATTACAAGTTTATTTCATTCAATTTAAGACCATGTGACTTAACCTTTCACTAAAGTTAAATATAAATTAAAAGTTGTAATTCTCATGCAATTAATCCTAATTTAATACATGTGAGCAACCATACCAAAACTTAATTTTCTTGCCGCAATACAATTCCAAGTTGTATATCACCATGAGGATTAAATCTGAAACATGGAATTTAATTAAATAAAAGGTTTCAAAACCTAACCGAATATTCTAAATCAAATATATGTGAAGCTATATGACATGTAAATTAAGAATATCAAGTCGGAATTCAAATAGAGTGAATAGTGCACTCGTGGCAAATTAAATAATTAAATTAATTAATAATTACTAATTTTCAAAACACCTCCAATTGCTTTCAAATTCAATTATGTTGGAGAGCATGCTAAGGCCTAATTTAATATGCTAACACATATCGATTTCAAACTAGTTAAGGCCATGTGAATTAATCTTTCACCTAAGATAAATATTAAATAAAATCTTTAATACTTATTCAAATATTCCAATTTTAATACATGACAATGAGCATATCAAGGGGCAATATAAAATCATGCTACATGTTTAAACCAAGTCATGAGCAACCGGGAAAATTAGATCCTGTACAAGAAAAATAAATAATAAAATTTCTAGATTTTATATTTAATCATGCAAACAAGTAGTATAAGCATCACAAGCATGCTATATAATAAGAATTTAAGCCTAAAACATCCCCTACCTTAATTTGAGATGAAAATCCCAAAGGCCCACCAAAATAAAAGTGCTCCGAATTCGACGATACTACTAGGTTTTGTCGGGGACAACGCCGTGAACATAACCCCCATGAAAGCCCCATCAAAATCATAACTTGACCTCAAAACCAAACTCAAGAAATGGTCAAAACTGAATTCTAATAAGGGGGAAAGGTAGAGCACGGCGAGGGGAACAACAAACGTTAAGGCCGAAGACTTTCCATCAAGGAAAAGTGAACCAAAAGAGGAGAGAGAAGATGGCAGCACCCCTTGGGCTGCCATGGGAGCTCCAGGTCGTGCATGAAGAGGGGAGAAGATCAAAAATGAAATATCTCACCCCCCTTTTATAGAAATCTCAAAAAGTGCCCTAAACGGGCCCCGCCGGGTCTGAAAAAGTAAAATTTGAGCAGACGCACTCAAATGGCAAAACTTTGTGAATAAAAAAGATTCAAAATGATAAAATATGAACAACGGAAGAAACAACGTCAAAAACCGAGTCTCGAGCAGAAAGTTATGCCCAAAACAAGTTTGGCGAAAACTGGGGCCAGAAACCTTGAAACTGGAAAACATCGACCAGGAGGAAATTCCAAGAGTACACAACTCAACGAAATGTGAAAATGAATCCCGTACGAGGATCCAGGCTCAAAACAAGACATTTTGCAATAACTTTCATTAATTGCGCAATGGCCCCTCTAAAAAGTGAAAACTGCACTTATGGCCCAGAATGAAAATATCTTCCAAAAATATTTTCTTAAAAACCCCTGAAATAAAATATCTTCAAATGATATTTATGAAAAACACCCTAAGAAAAGAAAATAATTTCAAAGAACTTTGCATTTATGCCCCCTATGGACACCGGGAGCAACCAGAGTACTTTCTTGCAAAAGTAAATATACGTATTTCGAGGAAACCACTAAAGATGAAGACACGTGAAGTCAAAAACTAACCCCGAGCACGAAAAGTGAGGTTGTGCCAAAAACTGACAAACGGAGATAAGACGAAATAGGAAAAATGACAGAATAGGGAAAAGACGAAATAGCGCATAGTGTCCGAAAAATGAAAAATGTGAAAATGACTCGGTTCTCAAAGGAAGTTGTCAATCCACGGAAAAGAGTCTCAGGAACTAATTCCGAGCACTCGAGATGACACTAAGTGACACGAAACAGATCCCAGAAAAGAAAATTAAACGAAAAAATTTCATTCGTAAAATTTCAGGAAAAAGGAAAGGAAGGCAAATGACTGGGTCGTTACACAACGTGCAGAGCCTTACACAAGCGTGTTAGGACGTAGGGCATCCTATGGCCAGACGTAGAGGTGCAAATGGGTAATATTTATTATTATTATTTTAATTTAATTTATTTATTTTTTTTTTACGTTGCAAACCGAATCTCAAATAAACATTGCACGTTCGTTTCAAACCCGAACGTAGTCGTTCTTGAGTCTAAATTGCACGTTTTTAAATCATCTTTCCAATGATATGGGTCTCATCCCATAATTCTAACTTGAAATGACCATTTTGCATAAGGAGTTCTTGGGTCGGGTTAGGACCTAATTAGTGATCCGGATCCCTCGGATTTGAGTCTTTACAGTGGCGGTGGTGGAAAGCGGTGGCAATGGTGGTGGAAGGCAATGTCGATGGTGGTGAAAGGCAATGGTCGTAATGAAAGGTAGCGGCGGTGGAAGGCGGTAGTGGTGGTGAAAGGTGGTGGCGGTAATGGTGGTGGTGGAAGGTAGCGGTGGTGGTGGAAGATGGTGGCTGTAGTGAAAGGCGACGGCTGTGATGGAAGGCGGTGGCGGCGGTGGAAAGTGGTGGAGGTGGTGAAAGGCGATGGCGGTGGTGGTTGCGACAAAAGAATGCTGTGTTGGTGGTGAAAGGTGATGGCAGTGGAAAGCGGTGGGCGGTGGTGAAAGTCAGCGACAGTGGTGGTGGTAGTGGTGGAAGGTGGCGGCGGCGGTGAAAGACGGAGGTAGTTGTAGTGGAAGGTAGTGGTGGTTTTTAGACTTGGAACATGAAGAATTTTTGGGAAGTTGATTTATTTAAAAAATTTACATGGGAATGGAATGACTGTTCTCTAAGTTTAGTTGTGAAATGGATTTTCATTTTAATGGAATGACCATTCCCACTTTGAATTGCATACTAAACAAAGGAATGGTTAGAATAGACATTCTATTCTATTCCATTTCTGCACACTAAACGTAGCGTTAATCCTCGTTGAACTCCTTTGGTTTGAGTAATCCGTAAACTTAATCATTATGTTTCTCAATTAAGGGTTTATTTTGGAAAAAAAAAATAGGGTTACAAGAAAGGGAAGAGAGTGAAGTTAGGAATGGGTTTGCTAAAAAAAGGTCAAATTGGAAATTAAGTAGCACAAATCCGCTATCGTTTTGGATTTCATGATACAATCTCAAAAATCATTTCGTTTTGGATTTAATGTTGGGCAAATATCGCCCCAAATGTTTTATTTATTTATTTATTTTTATTTTTTATTGGTTTATAATGCGTTAAGTTTAAAAAAGTGATGGTCACTGTTTGGTTACAAATTTAGTCATGTGCAATTAACAATTCCGAAAATACCATTTTCCCTTCCAATAATGCTCGCATATATAAGAAGAAGAAAAAAAAGAAACAAAAGAGGGACATTTCAGTCATTTCATAATTAATTATTTTTTACCTTTTTTTATTCAGTTATAGAGGGACACTTTAGTCTTTTCAGTATTCAAATCCTTATTTGCTCAAAATTGAATGTTAATTTTTTTTTTTTTTTTCAGAATATATAAAAGATTATACACTCGGTATGCATATCATAAATGTATTTTTCTCTAGTAATCCTAAAATATATATGAAAGCTTTATCAATAATAAAAAAAAAATTCCTTAAATAACATAACTCTCATAGGGAGCTTGTTCTCAGCAACTAAATCAAAAGTGTCACATAAAGCATCTTCAACATAGTTTGTTTTTATTTTTAATTTAATTTAAATTTTTTTTTTCACCAAGTACCAAGTGGTACTTCTTCAACTTACACTTTAATATTAAAATATGAAAAATAAAAAATAATATTGACAAATTTTTATTTTTTTTGACAATTACTAGCAATTCATTTTTATACATTTATACTGCAAAAATTACTTTTTGGGAGACAATATATGCACTCTATTCAAGAGAGATAACCTTATTCCCTCTAATTTTATAATTAGAAGAATCAAATATTAACTAGGTCAGAAACACTTTTGTCATGATGTACACTGAATGAAAAAAACGCAAAACAGAAAGGGGTACCGCTAAAAAAAAAAAAAAAAAAAAAAAAAAAAAGAAAAAAAAAGGAAGAAAAGAAAAAGAAAAAGAAAAATTAAAGAAAAAGAAAATTTAAACACATAGTTGTGCTTTAATAGTACTTTCACACCCCATAAAATGTTCAACACCGGCTTGGAGTGGCGAACTTTAAGCATCAAAATTCAATCTTCGTCATATTCACCGAACGCTCACGCTGGCAACAAGGCCTCATTTGCAATATCCTCAAACAACCCAACTCTACCCTAGCAATTCATTCAGTAAAGGTTAGTATTTTTTTTTCCCTCTCTCTGTGTTCTTCGTATCCAAGAATTGTTGTTTGATCATGTATTTTTTGATTCTCTATTTTCCCGATTATTGCCGCAATTTTTTTAGGTTCAATTCTGGTCTGCGTACAACTGTCTGGTAATTTTATGTGTTTTTATACATATATTGCATATATTTTGGTTCTTGTGCGTGTATTTATGAAGCTATGCGCGCAGAAACACCCATGCAGAATTACTATTTTGTTTGGGTATCATTTGTTGCTTTTTATGCCATTCAATATTGGATTGTTTGTGTATAATGTTTCAATGTTTGGATTTTATAGATATTTAAATCATATTTGAATTTTTATTACAAAAAAGAATGTAGTTTTCAACATTTGATTTATCTGACAGGTTTATTGAATATTTGTAGTCTGTCTCCTGGAATATTTTATTTGGTTTTGAAGAATTAACAACAACAATGGTTGTGCAAGGGACACTCTCTAATGGACTGACAAGTAGATGTAGTGAATGGAACACAATTAGGACTTCCACAAGGTCATTTTGTTCAGGACAGGCGCAGGGAATTACCAATTTTGCTGTATTAGCTGATAGGAAGAAGTTGAGATATGGAGACGTTCTTCAGCATTGCAATCTTTATGCAAACAACAAGTGGTGGCCGTTATCTTTACCGGTTACTCGTTGCAGGAAGCGGGTTTCTTCTGTGGTCCATGGCCAGTTGAGTTCTGATTGTGGAGTGGATGCATTTGATTTGGAGCAGAGTTCTGCCACTGAAGGAGAACATGATCTTGCAAGTTCAAGTGAAGGACTTCTGTAAGACCTCAAACCTGTCATCTTATTGTATACTTTGTGTGCACATGTTATGTTTTATTTCTGTTCTGTTTTGTTTTGTCATTTTAGTGGATCTTCCATTGGTAATATGATTTGTGCATTCAATTTTTATGGGAACAACATTTATCAAAGGTCTGGTGCTTTAATGCGTGTTTTCTATTTTGCACTAAGATTTTGACACATCTATGTGGCAGTGCTGCTTCACTGCATGATGCATCTAGACACAAAAATGACACATTGGTGTAATAGCAAATTGGTTTTTAGTTAATCTGTAATTTTAAAAATTTCAAAACTAAATAGTATTTTTTTCTTTCCTTCTTTTTTATATTTTTTCCTGCTAATAATCATGAATAATTTTCTTTTGATACCCATCGGGATATCCATACACCATCACACGAGTAATTTAAAAGCCGGGTCTAGGAAGCACGGGCATTTGTCTTGTGGATAGTAATGCTTTTTTGGAATGACCTTAAAAGCTTTTGAAAAAGGAATTTCTTCCAGAGCCAATTTGGTCAGCAAGCTGGGCGTGATCCTGGAGCTTTCCTCTACGGAGTGGATTAAGATTGGATAGAAATGGTCATAGTAGGTACTGTGGAACTTCTGGCTATACTGCATTTTTCGTGCTTTAGGGTGAGTTTCTTGACCTCTATGGCTCGAGTTAATGGATATTGGCATTGCATTGCAACACAAATATGGGTGTTTGTCATGACAACTCCTGAAAACTTAGTACTATTGCAAGATGAAGGGCTGTTTGAAAATTGAAAATTAAGCACAGAAAATTTTCAAAGTTGAATTTTAAGTGCTGGAATTGTAAGTGTTCATTGTGAATTGAGATATTTTATGGTAATTGTTTGAATTTTGAGTGTCCGGTGTTCAATAATTAGTGAATTCTTTGTCATCTAAAATTTTACCCCATTTTAAGTGATATCCAAATTGCTTTGTCAGATACACTTAATTGGATAATAACTTAGATTTATTTATAGTTTACTACTGACTTGAGTTATCAAACATCACCTCAGTATTGGGAATATATATACACACACACACACACACACACACACACACACAAATTTACTAGTAATTTACTAAAGAGCACTGATAGAATGGGGTGATTTATAGAAAGGGTGAAAAAACAGTACGGCATGTGTCACTGGATGACAATGTATCACAAGTTGTAAGATATTGAGACCCTCCAAAAATTAATAATTTGAAGGTGGATCACCCAGTTAAATAATGATAATTACAGACTTAAAATGCTACTTCGTGAATAGCCCTCTTTCAGAAATCACGAAACTGATATGTACCCTTTTTTATCCCTTGTGCAATTTAGCATGCCACGTCCCAATATCTTAAAACCAGTGGCATTTTCATATCAAATTTGTGATTTTCTAGATGGGGAACTTCTGTGGTAGGGCTAAAGTTCAACTCTTTGATCTAGTTCAATTGGTAGGTTAGGAAGAAAATCTTTTTTTTGTTTTTGATAAGTAAATTTTTTTTTTTTTTTTTATCTTTTTATTAATGTCTTTTGTGACGAAAAGTTGTTTGCGTAAGAACTTTCTTGTTGATGATAGATCTTGACATAGGCATCCTACATGATACTACCTTAGATCTTTGTTCTGTACTTTGTATGATTTTTTCTTCTGTTTGGATTTATAAACTGGTTCTATTTTTCATTAATTGTTGGTTGTTTTCAATTTCTCATTTTTTAAACAGTGAGTTGTCAGGGAATCCTGCTAGCCAATCACATTCTCAGGGAGTGAAGCATGAGCTTGTAATGCTCACTTTGCCTGCAATTGTTGGACAAGCTATTGAACCATTGACACAACTGATGGAGACAGCATATATTGGTAGATTGGGTAAGACATAATGTTAGATCTCTGTTATGATGTTTATTCCCTTCACCTCTTTTTTTTGTTTGTGATGGCCATGCAGAATTTTATTTTCCTGCAACTACCTTACGTTTCTTTAGTGTGTTTGGTTTCAGTCTCTGGATTGGTTGCAGAGTTATCCTCTTTTTATAATATTTGAATTTCACTTTGTTTTGGGGGTGCTCTGGTTGGGGCTGGGGCATAGGAGTTTTTGCCTTGTTACTAGGAATTGAGAACTTGAGCTGATTCTGTTGTATAAACAGCTGTTTAATGTTTAGACAATTGAGTTGTTTTGTCTCACAGGTAAAATATTCTGACAACTGTCATCCTCAAGTAGATAGTCATATAGTTATTGGTTGGAGATAAAGTAATCTGTTGAATAACTACATTATATTATTTTGGAATTTCATGGTGAAGTCATTGGATTATATTCCATCCTAAGCTGAGACAGGAGTCGTAGATTTCTAAAAGGGTTGCAGCTGTACTAACTGTCTACAGGGCTGTAGGAGTTATCATTCATGGTTGTTATTCTTATATGGAGCTATTTCAGTAGCTTGGATTTTTTTTTAAATGTAGGAGAATGCTGCATGAGCCAGTTGCCAATATATGATGACAATGCATGTGCAGAATTTAGGTTAGCATGGTACTTTGGAAATTTCATACCACCATGGTTGATTGATAGTATCCCTTGCAAGCAAGTATTGTAGAAATATCCAACTGATTCCAATTAGCATTTGGCTTGTTTCATTGCTCTAGATCACGGTTTATTGGACATCTGTAAACTTGATCAAGGTTTCTGTCCTTTGACTAGTGTGAGAATGATGTTTCGAGTTGGAAAGCAGTAACTTTGTGCTACCTAATACCTAATATTAGGCCATTCCAGTCTGCCACTCCCAGCAACCGTACGGTAGGCACACTTCGTAACAGCCTTTTTGGAGTCAAACTTATGTGTGAGATTTTAATTTTTAATTATTATTTATTTATTTATTTTTAAAAAAGCTGTTTTCCCTTGTTCTCATGATTCATTGATATCTAAAACTTTGTATTTTGTTCATAGGTGCTCTGGAGTTAGCTTCTGCTGGTGTTTCCATATCGATCTTCAACATTATATCAAAGCTATTTAATATTCCTCTTCTCAGTGTTGCTACTTCTTTTGTTGCTGAGGACATTTCAAAAAATGCAAGCAGATTTTCCTCTCTTGGTAAAGTTGAAATAATGTTTGAACCTTTAATGCGTATTAAGTTCTTGATCTATTTCATTCTCACTTTCACATCTAATCTTGGGATAGTTGTCGTACAGAGGAGGATCATGAAAGTACCAATGGTAAACCTTTCAATGGGGTAGCTGAAAAACTGGAACTGTCCTCTGTGTCTACAGCATTACTTTTAGCATGTGGCATTGGCATCTTTGAGGCTTTAGCTCTGTTTTTGGGATCTGGTCTGTTACTTAACTTGATGGGCATATCATCGGTAAGCACCAAATCCATTGAGTTTATATAAGAAACTGACCATCCTTGTGCCTGTGTTCTCCCTTGCACTAAAAGGTCTCAATCCAACTACTTGGGGTTTCTACATGAATCGTTTTAACTATTCAAATCATGGTTCATCGACTCAGCTGAGTCGCAACAGACTCGGCACTTGCCAAGTCTGAGTCAGGCCAATATAGTGCTGATACTCAAGAATCACCCTTGACTCAGTCGAGGATCGGAGAGAGTTGCTGAATCAGGCCTAATTCGGCCAAGTTGGCTCACCAACTCAGGGAGTCGGCAGCGAACATATAAAAAGTAGCCCAACAGCTTTTATTATTCACTATGTTTTGCCATTCTCCGGTGGTGCAGTGGCCTCTCAGAAGAAGAGATAAACTTTTAAAGAGAGGTTTAGAGGGACAATATATATATATATATATATTGAGAGAGAGAGAGAGGAGAGGGTTATGAAAACCTAGAATTAACAAGTCACAAAGTGGTTTATCTTAAAATGGACCTGAATGTTTCAGAAGAGATCTCAAAATCTCTAGTTCGCGAAGATGACTTGATTTACTTGCAAGAACATGGAGAAGTCTTCTCTAATACTGAGTTGACTCGTTCTTCTTCTGATCCTTTATTGTGTCAGACTCCTAGGTAAAGGCATGTGTGGAGATTTTCCCTATCTAGGGCTAACATTTTTGACTGAATTTATTTCTCAGACTCTGTATTCATAGCATTTTTTCTTGTGACCACAACATTTTCTTTTTACCTAGTCATGTGACCCCAACTTTTAGTTACCAAATTGTGGTCACTGTTACAAGAGCAGAAGACTGGTTTGAAAGTTTTACCCTTTTATTTGGTTACCTTTACTTTTTCTGGATTAGAGAATGAGGATTGGGACGCTCTCATGTTTTTTTACATTGATTGTTGGTTTATCAGTTTGGAATTTTATCACAATGTGGAATTTTTAACTTAATTTTTTTTTAATTTTTTACAATTTATGAGTTTGGGATAGACCCAAATAATAATGTGGTTAGCCCCACACACCAAAAAAAAAATAAAAACAAAACTTATAAGCTTTATTGTCAATGGCGATTTAATATTTATGCATCGATCATTACTTTGAATAAGAACAAAATCATTAAAGTTCATTAAAACCGATATTTAGTAAGTTCCATAAAAAAAACCTGGTGAAACAATGCGTTTTGGGAAGGGGTGCAACTTGGGCCGGCCAAATATTTAGCCTGATTTTTCACAGGCTTGGACGACCATTTTTACAATTAGGGTTGGGCCTAGGTTGAGGTATCACCAACCCAACTATATACTTATAATTTTAAATATTATATACGTTTTTTGAAACTATTAGATATGTAAATTTTCAAAATCATAAGCAACCTTTCCTTCAAATCTTAATTTATTGTATATTAATCATGGAGAATTATATCCTAATCATTTTTAAAATTTTCAGAAATTTACAATCACTTTTTAGATTTTTATGCATAGGAGTAATCCTCGAAATTGACCCAAGTTCAACATGTTTTTTAACCCGATTTTCCCAATATGGGCTTAACCTGAGCTCTAAAATTTGAACATGGGTTGGATTGGGTGTAAACTTTTTTAACTTTGGTTGGGCTTGGGTTGAAGCTTTTTTGCCCTTGGTTGGGCTTGGGTTAGTCCCTCAACATGCCCAACTGGCCGAGTTGCACCTTTAGTTTTGGGCCCAGAGTGAGATTAAAAAAAATTCACAACCAGGGCGACTGATTTTGTTACGTTATGCCCAATATGGCCCGGGTCCGTGTTTGCGTACAATGATTCAGATTTATCTACTGAAATGACATAGCATGAAATTGCAATTTGTTTGCACTTACACAACAACCTTAATAATGCAAATTATTTTTTTACTATTCAGCTCTAAGGGGATCAATTGTTAGCTATCCATTCTCCTCTTCCGGACTTGGTTCCCTTGGGTTGTGCATTACTGATTTGATAAAGATAATTGTTTGGAAATGCCTTAATTTCCTTTACTTTGACCACAATCAGTTATCGTATTAAACCTAGAGATGACATCTAAAGTAGAAAGGAGGATACATCATTTAGGACTGTTTTATTATCTTTTTGTAAAAGTATCTATTTATTAAGAATAAACTCTGATTTCAAAATCTAAGGCTATATATATTTTTTTGATAAATAAAATCTAAGGCTGTATATTAACCACTTGACATTCCTTTTTGGTATCGAAGTGATTACATTGCATCTCAACTATGCAAGTACTAGTTTATAATTTTGGGGACAATCTCATTGTCTTAAGTATATTTATTTTCACAGTTCTCAATAGTATTCTCTTGTGTGTGCGTGTGTTTTTGTATTTGCATATATGTATTTCTGTATGTGACTGCCTATTCCAAAGGATTTCTATTTTTTTTTCTTTCTTTTCCTCCCTGTTCTAACTCAATTCTCTTAACAGGCTTCCCCCATGCACTCTCTGGCACGGAGATTTCTTTCTCTTCGAGCCCTCGGTGCTCCCGCAGTTGTAGTTTCTTTGGCCCTTCAAGGCATTTTTCGCGGCTTTAAGGATACAAAAACTCCTGTATATTGTCTTGGTAATTGTCTGTAACTTTTAAGGGTATATGTTAAGTATGTATGCCCTCCAACTAATTTCACAATTTTTTTTAACCTATCTGATGCTCAGAAATACGAAGAATTCTATTGTCATATGAATGGAGGACATTGGATTTCTTGCTTCCATGTTCTTTAAAGCCGTCTTTTTTGTTTTTTGTTTTTCCTTTTTGATTGACAAGTGATTAGAGTTAAAATCCTTAATCCCTCCTTTTAGATGACATGTCAGCATTTCTACTACCGTACAACATCGCCTTATATATATATTGTTATGATATAACCTGGTGTGGGCTTGTTAATTTAGGTCCTTGAAGGGACAGGCTGATATCTAATATTTACCATTATTTGCACAAAGTACTATCCTCATACTTGAATCCATATTCTCACGGTTAGCAATTCAAGCTTTTGTCCCTCTACTAGGCAATGCTTGTTCACCATCCTTCTATTTTATTTATTTGTTTTTTACACAACTTGACTCACGAAGCCGTGCCTGAATTATTTGGACTCTACATGAATCATATTCCTCTATTTACCATACTTCCAGCTAAATCACATGTTAACGCCACACTTTAATTTTGGTCTTTCCTTTCCCAACCAAATCACTCTTCCTCTCTGGTATGGTTATTGTTTTATTTTATTTTAAAAATAGGTAGTTTAAAATTTGTATGCTTCTTTTAAGGTTCGTTATGATGTCTTTTATTTGTTTTGGGTTGATGAATAAAGAATAGCTGTTACCATTTTTTTTATGTCTTTCTAAAATAAGAGATCATTATATCTTCACCGTGATTGTTACTCCAGCCTCATACCAGCTTTTCTGTGACAATTCTTTTCTTAGTTGCGGGGCTAAATGTATAATCCTCTGGCTGATTGTCATGTAGTTTTGGATATAGGTATGTCTATAAATGTTGGATTTTTCATGTTGTCTTGGGTTGCTTAGAATATTTCTATTCATTTAGAAATAAGATAGTTTGTGGAAACAGATGAATATACATGGGGTGTGCTGATGAAAGTAAGATATCATTCAACCATAAACCAGTGAATACAAACTACAAAGAGCGCTACAAAATTTAAATCTGTTGGTAATAAAGTAATACAAATATATAGCAGTAGTAGGCTTGTGGTTATTAATGACCCCTTAAAAGTTGGGTGGTTGTATGGAGATCTGTGCATACACCCCATTTACTAGAAATTCTAATGTGATACATTGCACAAACTTCAAATATTGAATGTCTATCCTGTACCTCTCTGTTCATGTCACGTTAGGCACATGTATGGTTGTTAAAGTGATGCTAATATTTAAAAGCAGTGCTCTTGGTGTCAACAATCCACAATGCCATACATTATTTGTGCTAGAACTTTTCTTCTTGTATAGAATTATTAAAAGATCACCTCAACATAATTATCAGTTCCATCCTTGATTATATTTAGTGGTGCAATCAAAACACTTCAAAGCATGCCTTGTCACAGAGAAAATCAAGCTTCGTCTATTCGTATTTAATAGAAGAATTTGTTGGCAGCTGGCAATTAAATTATTGCTTTGTCATTGAACCATGTTTTCTTGTTTTATTTTTGGCCATGTGCAATAAATATCGCTACACTTAGACTTGTCAATGTATTGGATTTTGACCCGGATCTGGTTCAAGTCCGATTAGATAACTCGGATACGGATTGAACATTTAAACCTAAAAAGCATGGATACAGACATGGATGCGACATGATACGGACAAGGCAATACGGCAAATTTAAAAAAATAGGATACGTTAAAATGTTATAATTTAATATATTGTTATAAATAAAAGAAATAGTTTGTGTTCGTTATCCATATAACCATGAATGAAATTACTAATATGGAACTTAGAGTTAGATGTTAGTTATTTTTGTTTGCTTGAATTTTATATTATGTTTCTAATTGACCCATAATATATTTTAAATTATATTTAATCCCATTTTAGAAGAAAAATGATAATTACAAAACCAGTCCGCCTTATCCTGAAAGTGTCCAAAACTTATCCTTGCCGTGTCAATGCCGTATCTCAGCCATGTCCAACCAGAAAATAACATATTTAAATTTCAGGATACTTCTAGCCATATTCCTACACGTGTCCGAGCCTTATCTGCATATTTGACAAGTGTCCAAGTATTCGATACCACTACGGCACCCCAAGTGAAGTATCCGTGTTTCCTAGATTTAAACCAATAATTCATTAACGATCTGAATTCAATAATCCGTTAGCTAAACAAACCGGATTTGGAATATGGCAGATCAGATCCAATAATAATCTGATCCGACATAATATAGTATATAATATGCTTATAGATATATTATCCAATTCTATAATATATACTATTTATATGTTATCAAAAGTTCAAAACATTTTTAGCATTATTTCTTCTTCTTCTTCTTCTTCTTCTTCTTCCCTCTCTCTACTCTTTCTTACTCTTTCTTTTTTCTTTAACAAATAGTCAAATACCTAACTTTTTTTTTTTGGTCATTTTTATCCCGTCTTCTCCAGCTTTTTTTCTAACCATTGCTTAGCGATCTCTTTTGACATTAAATATTTTTAGCAAAAAATTTACATCCTTAACGGATCAGCTTATCCGATTAGTAACAGATCAGGTTATCCGATTAGTAACAAATTGGATATGGATTCATCCATAAATAATCTGTTGGGTTGGATCGGATTATGTAAAAACCTTACCTAAAAACCTTATCGGGAATTTGGATCAAGCCAGATCCTGTCCGAATCCGACTTGTTTACGGGGTCTAGCTGCACTAGTCCAATCTTTTTAATTCCTTTTACTTTTTTTTTTATTTATTTTATTCGATTTGATACAGTTGTCGAATATGCAGGTATTGGTAATTTTTCAGCTATACTTTTGTTTCCCTTACTCATGTATCATTTCCAATTGGGTGTGACTGGAGCTGCAATTTCTTCTGTTTTATCTCAGTATGTACTTTCTACCTTGATTTCTTCCCCTTTCATTTTTTTATTCACTGTGGCACTTAAAATGACCATGCTAGGTTTTTTTATGTTTCAGATATATTATTACCTTTTTGATGACCTGGCATCTTAACAAGAGAGCTGTATTATTGCCTCCAAAGTTTGGATCATTGCAATTTGGTGGTTATATAAAAAATGGTGAGTTCATGTTTTCTCAGCTGGCATGATTTGAATTTCTTGGCAAGCATTTGAACGATGGTATGCAATGAAAATTAATTTTGATTCTGCACTTCCCATATATTTTGAGATCTGCCTTGTGTAGTAGTCGTATCATCTTTGAGATACATGCCATACTAATTTCGATGAAAGCTTCTTCAGTCAGCTTTGTTATATCGTACTAATATATAGAACGACCTTTCACCTCGGCTCGTTGTTCAAGCCTTGCTTCTCCTGTATTTGAGAATTACCGAGCCTTGCTTCTCCTCTTAAAGGAATTTAGAAGAAAATTTGCAGAGAGTTTGTTATGGAACAACTCTAGGTTGGTTGAAGCTGATTGATTCTAGCATCTAATCCATCAAAATGGTATCCGTATAAAACTGGAACGTATTATATTTCTGCCTGCTGTTTTACGGATGCAAGTAACGTAGAAAAGCTGTTTAAGCACTTTCATAGGCTGCAGACTCCCAATTATGTTTCTTCCCTCCCATCATCCTTCCCTGTCGTTCCCTAATGAGATGCTGTACCCTACAACCTCAAGGTCGTTGATATTATTTTTCCCAATCAGTTTTTAATTGAGATTTAGTTGGATACCCTGGGTTTTGTCAATGCTTCTTGGAAAAAAGAAGGGAAGTTAACAAACATCTGAATGTTGGTTTCCTTCATTTTTCATTCCTAGGGTTCTCTGTAATACGAGACAGAAGGCAATTGAAGTTGTGCAAGATTAATTGAATGATAAACATACACTATAATAGCAGTGCTTAGAAAATGCTCCTTGGCAACGATCTTATGGTAGAGCAATTTTTAAAGTTTCTTAAAAGCTTTCAAATCTTTGGATTGGTCTCATGTTGGGTGATGATCCATTACTTAGGCAGTTGTATATTTGAGGGCACCTCAATAAGTTGAACAAATTGAAATTCTCTCTCTACTCAGAAGTAGTATTATCCTCTTCTTAAACCAGCTGAGGGAACTTCTAGGAATGGGGATGATTCTCAAATGGGACTGTGCAGGGAAATTTTTTGTGTTGTGTCATTTTATAGTATGGATTGCTTTGAGTCTGAAGCCATGCCATGTGCCGTCCAATGCTTGTTTCTATATACTTTATTTTACTGGTAGTCTGGTACTGTTTTGGGATATTTTTGTGGCTCAGTTCTAAGATCTTGTCCTGATGCTTTTCTGCATTTTGGATCAAGTTTGATAGAATGACTGCAGTTGATCGTTAATTGCTCTTCATGCAAGCACACAGATGTTTACATGTTGTTTGACTAATTTATGCATCCAAAGTCAGTAGACCATGGTCGGTTTGTGCCTCACTAACCTGGATTATCCATTTAAAATGAAAAATACTAACTTCACATAGAAATTCTGCATTTCTCTAGGTGGTTTTCTTCTTGGGAGAACTCTTGCTGTGCTTATTACCATGACACTTGGGACATCAATGGCTGCTCGGCAAGGTCCAACGGCTATGGCTGCTCATCAAATATGCTTACAAGTTTGGTTGGCTGTATCTCTCCTCACAGATGCACTGGCGGCATCTGGTCAGGTATAAATTTCTCCTTCTAAAGTATGATTTCAGTTATTTCCACTCATTCTGTGTCTGTGGTTTCATATATCTGTTTCCTGATATCTGAGTGAGGTTGGATACTGTTAATTGATGGTGATACCAATCAACATAATAAAAATTGTTAATATAGTCATAATTACTAGCTAAAGGAATGGAATGTCACTGCATTATTAAATTTATGAATAGTTTATAGTTTTGGTACTATCTGCTCTGACTTCAGATTTTGTTTTTTATAGGCCCTGGTAGCAAGTTCTTTCTCAAAAGGTGATTACAGAACTGTGAAAGAAATCACTTACTTTGTATTAAAGGTGCGCCATCCTTCTTGTGTTTGCAATAGAGCCAGATGTATTATTCCGGTTTATCTTCTGGGTTCTTCAAGTTGGTGATGTATTTTGCTTGAGATATTTATTTATTTGCTTTTGCAGATAGGATTACTGACAGGTGTTTTCTTGGCTGCGGTTTTAAGTGCGTCTTTTGGTTCTATAGCGACCTTGTTTACGAAGGATATAGAAGTCTTAGGAGTTGTTAGAAAGGGGTTATTGGTACGTATGCATGGCTTGTTTCATTTCTCACTTTTTGTTACTCTTTACTTAAAGCGCGCTAAGTTTTTCCTATTGGTACTTAATCCAAAATTGCTACAGTTTGTTAGTGCTAGTCAACCTATAAATGCTCTAGCATTTATTTTCGATGGTCTCCATTATGGTGTTTCAGACTTCCCATATGCAGCTCATTCTATGGTAAGCTTATAAAGTTCAACTTCTTTGAGATGTCATTAGTTGGGCTGTCAAGGTTGTATATATGGATTCTTTTAACATCATTGAAGTGCATTATAGATGGTGGTGGGAGCAATTTCCTCTGTGTTTCTTCTGTATGCTTCTTCGAATTTTGGGCTTCGTGGTGTTTGGTTGGGCTTGGCTCTCTTTATGGGATTGCGTATGGTGGCAGGATTTATCAGGTGAACTGAATAATATTCTGACTAGTCTTTTTTCTCTTGGAATTTTTGTCAGAAAATAAATTTGTAAATTTTTTTCCCTATTTGAAATTCACGCACCCATGTACCCTTATGGAGACTCGAACCCTTCACCTTCTACTTTGGAACGTGAGGAAGGATTTGCATATTTTATTATGGGAATTTTCTACTTATATCAAAGTATCAAATACCTTCCTGACCATAAAGTGCTCATATACAGGTTTTGATGACCACTGGTGTAAGCTATAGAGGTACTAGATAAGATGTTTAGAGTTTGGCTTTCAATAGTCTTTTTCAGTGCTTTAAAAGTTTTGAGTTTGCTCTACTCCTTTTTGGCATGGTTTCGTATGTTCACGGGGTTCAAAAGCCTCTCTAGGTTCAATCCAATCATTAGAAACTCAATTGTATTGGATGACATTATTATTGAAGGGCTGTAGACGATGCTAGATAAAGGGTCTTTCTTTGGTGTGATGCTAAAAGCTTGAGTTATACTAGCATGAGGATGCAACTTTGATAATGAGAATAGCCTCTTTCTGCAATAATAATACTTGAAGGTTAGGTCTGTCTGCAGACTCTCCACACTTCCCTTCCCAGCACCCCGAATAGGATAGACCAGGCGGTGGGTAATGGATTAGCTGTATGTTTGTACAACATGGAAGATGTTGGATGAATGTGAACCTCTCCTTGAAAGGGTCATTACCATTTACCAAGTGCGGTCCCTGTCAATCCTGGGAGTTCAGGACATACTGGACAGAGATTTAACGTTTGGTGTTATTTGCACAAAGTAGCTGACAGATTTTGAACCCGCATTCTCACGCTTGACATTGAAAAGCCAAAACAACCAAAAAGTTTAGAGTTTCTAATAAATAAAAAAAGCCAAAAAAAGGAAAAAAAAAAAAAAAAAAGATGTCAAAATTTGACGAACAATTGCAAAGTTATGGCCATTTGAAAATCACGGTTTAAAAATGACAAGCGTGATTTTCACGCTTTAATAAAATCACTTTTTTTAAAATGGCAAGGCTGATTTTTAAAGAAAATCACAGTTTTAAGATGATGAGAGTGATTTTTAAGAAAATCATGGTTTTAAAATGACGAGAGTGATTTTCTTCAAATGGCTTTTATTGATTTGGAGAAAGCCTATGATGGGGTCCTCGAGATCTAATATGGAGAGTTCTAGAAAGGAAAGGAGTCACAGAGGGATATATTGATACAATAAAGGACATTCATGATGGTTGTGTGATGTTAGAACGCCAGTAGGAGAAACAAGTGAATTCTCAATTACTGTAGGCTTACATTAAGGTTCAGCATTAGGCCCATACCTTTTTGCCTTGGTTATGGATGAGCTGACAAGACACACATCCAAGATGAGATTCCATGGTACATATTATTTGCCGATGATATTGTTTTATTCAACGAGACTAGAGAGGGAGTTAATAAAGCAAAATTGGAGATTTGGAGAGAAGCTTTAGAACTAAAAGGGTTTAAGATCATCATCATCTAGTATATTGTGTGATAGGCATATCCTCTTGCATTGAAAGAGAAGTTGTACTGAACGACCTATTAGACCAGCCATACTTTATGGCACAGAATTTTGGGCAGCTAGGAAACGACATACACATAAAAGTGAGTGTGGCGAAAATGCGAATGTTGAGATGGATGTGCAACAAGACTAGAAAGGATAGAATTAGAAATGACCACATTTGGGAGATGGTTGGAGTAGCACAAATTGGAGATAAATTGAGAGAAAATTGGTTAAGATGGTTTACACATGTGCAAAAAAGACCTTTAAATGCGCCAGTTAGAAAAAGTGACATAGTTCACATTGAGGGTAATACTAGAAGAAGAGGAAGACCAACGTTAACTTGGGTAGAGTTAGTAAGGAAGGGTGTGATAGGATGTGGATTGACTAAGGCTATGGCCTTGCATAGAACTGAATAGAAACATAGGATTTATGTAGCCGATCCCAAGTAGTTGGGAAACTGGCTTGGTGGTGGTGGTGGTGGTTGTTCTCATGCTTGACAACCCAAGCATTTTGCTGATGCACCAAACAATTAAAAATTATAAACGGTAAGAAATTTTGGCTGAATCATAATTGATTTTGAAATTGCCTGATCTTATTTGTACCGTACTGCCTTGTCACACTTGTTTTACAATTATCAATCTATTGACAATTTTCTCTCTTGTATTTTCAGATTATCTTTGAGAACTGGTCCATGGTGGTTTCTTCATGATGGGGAATTGTAGAGAACCAAGGTTGGTCGGATATTTTTTTTTCTTCCTTTTGACTGTGATCGAGGGTTTTCTAATTCTTTAATTACTAATGCTTCATGGCCTGCAAATATTCATTTTATTTTGTGTAAGATAATTTGAATCTCGGACTACCCCGATGCCACACCACACCTTAACCACTTGAGCCAAGATCCAATGTCTAGGGCTGAAAATATTCAGCTAGTCAGTCTTCTTTGTTGCCAAGAATATTACAAGTTCTCTTATATTATTATTTGGGAAAACAATCTTCATTTCCTACTAGAAATTTGAGAACATGCATTTTATGCTTCTTATGCAAGTATTTACGTATCTAATCTCTTCAATTAAGTAATTGTTAAGCTTTTAACTAATGACCTTCGTTTTCACTCTGTACTTGCTCCATCAATAATCTGAACTATATCTGTTTACTTTAAAAGAGTTTTCTCAAGATAAGAACTGAAATCTTACTTGAATTAGGAGAATGATGGAGCTAAATCTCTTGGGAATTCTACAAAGGCAATATATGAGCAAGATGCAAGATCTGCAAGGATGTTTCAAAGAAAATGCTGGGCATTAAGTTTCAGCCTTTGTACAGGTCCGTCAATCCAAAGAAAGCATTTTGGTAAAGAGTCCAAAAGCTTGGATGCCGCTTCCTTTATACAAATGGAAATCCTAGTTTTCAATTCTTGAAGAATCTTCAACAATAAGCAAGTGAAAGCAAAGGGGTTTTTCTGTAGTATCCTTACCATAAAAGCTCTTACCCTCAAGAATCCAGAAAGAATTTGCAACATCGTCTGGTGCTATTTTCAATCCTTTTTATTGGTTACTTCAAAATTTTCAACATCTAGAATTAGGTTAATAAGCAATTAAATTGAGCTAATAGTAGTCAACCTTTCTCAAGGAAAGGATATGAAATAAGAATCATTCATTGGAGTGAGTTGGAATGTGTTGCAATGGTAAATCCAGTAAATACAAGCTATATTTATCATTTTAAACTTGGTTATGTTTAATGGCTTGATTTATTTACTTGAATTGTCAAATTAGGTTTGTTTATTTGTGGGGATAAGCTGTTTCTATCACTAGGATCAATATGTTTGTTAATGACTGTCTATCAGTTTCATCATTGTTGCTATTTGTTTCATTGCTGAATTTGTTTTGCAAATACTAAATTTTAATTTAACTACCTACCTGGCTTCAGTTTTCAGTTAAGGTGCAAAATCTGCAACATGAGCCACTATAAGCATGACTTAAAGGCCGTCTGACTTATTTAGATTGTAAGTTAGAGTATCAAAGAATTCAATCTTACAGGATATGCAATTTTTTCAGTTTTGAGTTGTTTGATAAGAGTTTTTGGTTGAGACTTTCAAAATCCTTATTTGGTTTTAGCCTTATTTCTATGATATGATTAGTACTAGACTATAAAATTGGCTTTCAATAGTCTTGTTGATACATCTATCACTCGGAGACAATTTCTTAGATAAATACCAGTAACATAATTAGCTGCTTTTTAGATTCCTTTTTCTTTAGCCTTGCATACTGCATCAACATGCCTTTAAGAAACTATGTCCAAGTCATTGGAATTGTTCAAAGCAAAGTAAGAGCCGATTTGTTTTACGAAAATTTGCAAGGTAAAGCTTCCATTTTATATAATGTTATACTAATATTGAAATAGTTATGTTATAATGGCCGAAAAGGGAAGGATATTTTGTTTGTGTTTTGTTTATATTTATTTATTTATATCTTTGGGCGATTAGGGTTTCCTGGGGATTGCTGCTGGTAACATGGATTAGGGTTTATGGGAGGATCTTTCCTTGAAGTAGCGAATCTACCACGTCTCATTCTCAATGGGGAGGTTGATAGCTTCCCAACTTAAGATGGTAGAACCTTTAGGGTCGATCATCACAGTACGGCATGCCGAGAATCAGTTTTAAAATACTGCCTTGTTGGACACTTCGATAGAGATGTGGGAAGTATCGAGTCGATTGAGACGTGGGCGACGCAGACTTAGAAGATTGCGTGCAGGGTAACGGTTTCAACCTTGCCTGATCGTCTTCTTCTGTTCAGATTACCGTTGGAGAAAGAGGGACAAAGAGTTCTTATTTCTGGCAAGAAGACATGGGATGCTACTACTCTGTCAATTCATGTTTGGTATTTTGCAGTTGGTTGCTTGGCGGTGAGAACAAGGGGAAGGGGAAGATGAGTGGTGATGTACGGATTATCCCTTCATCTTCGCTGTCAGATGTTGTTCGAAGCCATAGGGAATATGTGTGGTGGTTTTAGAGATGTGGAGGTGGATGATATGGTGGTAGGAGAGAGAATTACTTTTTATGTTTCTGATGAAGGTGTGATCCCGGATTTTATCTTTGTTGAAGATCAGAGAGTGGCCTTCAAAGTTGAATTGAGGGAGGAATTATCACCATCCATCCTTTCGAAAGCCTCCATCGACTCTTATGTTAGATCCACACCACATCTAAAGGAGTTGAGATCTGGACACGAGTGTCGTCTTTCCTCTCATTCCCAAGGACAGAGACGAGTGAGGTTCAACGCGCCGCCTGCAATAATCGTTTGTCCATCTCCTTATCATTTACCAAGCCCAGTCTAAATGTTTTGTCAAGGTCCAGTGGAGGAAGCTCAGCCCACGCTCATGTCCATCCTTTATCAAAGTGTAACTCTTTTGACTTTCATCCATCTGTACGAAGAAATTGGTCAATCGCGGAGAAGACGAGATGGTAGCAGATTAGCGTAGGTAAGGGAGGTACATGCACGGAAGACATGAATTTTTGACATGATATATGTTGTTGTAATTCAAACACAATAGGGCCTTTCATCTCTGCCCCTGATTTGTCGAAAAATAGAAGCCTTAATAGTGCATATTGGACCAATTAGGGTAAATCGTACCGCCATGGTAATCGATTGACCCGTTACGAAAAACAGAAGTGGATCGCTCGATCCACCACTCCTATTGACCCAGGTATGTCCTCTGCTATTCATTCTCGGAGCCCTTCTTATGCTACTCCTCCTTCTACTCGTTCTTTTGGGGTGTTGAGGAGTGGCGTTGGGATGGAAAAGGGATGTGAGCTGCTGAATTTGTCAATGGTACCGGAAGTTAAGTCGGGGATGTGCTTGGATGCATCGGGCGATTATAGGTCTTCTCTTTCTGGGTATGATGAACCAGATGTCAGTGCTGCAATGGAACCGTTCGATGGGGTTTCGGTTTGTGTGGGACATGATCTTTAACTTCGGCTGACTGAGGAGTCTGCAGTGGCTTTGCTCAAAGAGCTTCGCCTCCGTGTCGCCCTTAAAGGCCTCAACTGTTTGCCACTTAGAGGGTCAGGGGAGATTACTTCACACAGTTTGGTGACTCATGGCATGGGTGATTTTGTTATGGCTACAGATTCGCAGATGAATTTGCATGTTGGTGGAAAGGAAAGCGTAGAGGAGGAGGACGAAGTCTTGACTCCCATCCAACGGGTATTCTCTAATAAATTAGTCCCATGGTTGGATTCAGACCATTCTAATCTGGGGTTGGTGGAACCATTGGCTGTGGTGCGACCTGATGGATCAGAGATGAATGTTGATATGGGCACGGACTGGGTAGTTGCAAATATCGGTGTTACTAGTGAAGCGCTGGGTGTCTCATTAGAGGGTAAAGGTGATCAGGCCCTGTCCATTCTTCGCACAATTGTGGAAGGGAGAGAGGTTGCAGGGAATATGAAGGCACGAAAGACGTTAAACGTAGGAGACCTTTAACGTCTTGGAAAGGGGAGCAGGAGGTCAAAAATCTCACCTCTTATGTCAACTATGAAGGGAAGGATGGGGTGGCGAGGGAAAGGGAAAGGACCAGAAGTGGGAAAAGGGGAGGAGGGGAGAGATGATTATTTATGGTTTTTAATGAAGCTATGAATTTTCACTTTGAACATTCGTGGTCTCAATGATCCGGACAAAAGGAGGGTGGTCAAGGTAGCTGTGAGGAAGTGGAGTGCCCATGTCGTTTGTTTGCAAGAAACCAAGATGGTCTCTATTTCTGACGGGGTGGTTAGGAGTCTTTGGGGAGGAAGGTTCGTGGAATAGGAAGCACTGAACGCTTCAGGTTCCTCTGGCGGAATCCTAGTTATGTGGGATCGTAGGTGGTTGTCAAGGATGAACATATGGAAGGGGGGTTACTCTTTGTCCTGCGTGTTCAAGATGGAGGAGGACAATTTCAGATGGGTATTTTCTGGGGTCTACGGCCAGTTATCGATAGTGAAAGACCTTCCTTTTGGGAGGAGCTTTGCCACATTAAGGGTCTGTGGTCTCTTCCTTGGTGCCTGGGTGGGGACTTCAATTATGTTAGGTCTCCGTTTGAGAGATCCACAGGGGGTAGGTGGCCCTCATTGATGACCCAGTTTTAAGATTTTATTGATAGTTATTTTCTTTTTGATTTGCCAATGGAAGGGGCAGCCTTTACTTGGTCTAATGGCAGGGTCCCGGTTACTTTATCAAGTCTGGACAAATTCCTGATTTCTGGGGAGTGGGAAGAGAAATTCCCGGATGTTGTTTAGGCGGCACTTGTAAGGGTGACCTCTAATAACGTTCCCTTAGTTCTAGATTGTGGGGGGTATGAGATCTCGGTGCACCCCATTCTGCTTTGAGAATATGTGGTTGAGATCAGAGGATTTCCAAGGGAAAGTCTGGTTTTGGTGGGTGGAGGCGATGGCCACAGGTTCTTTCAGTTTTGTGTTAGCTAGGAAGCTTCAGACCATCAAAACTAAGCTTAAGAGGTGGAACAAGGAGGTGTTCGGGAATCTTGAATTGAGGAAAAATAGAGTTATTGCTGACCTCGCTGAGATTGATCGTCTTGAAGAGTTGGGGTGGGATGTGGAGTCTTTGTGCTTTAGGAGAGCTTCGTGTTAGGCGGTTTTTGCTGAAATTGCTAATATAAAGGAGATTTCGTGGCGTCAGAAATCTCGGGCCTTATCGCTCAAAGAAGGGAACCGTAATACGAAATTCTTTCACAGGCTTGCTAATGCTCATAGAAAGAGTAATCATATTAGGTGCGCAGGGGGATTGTTTCCTTTTACCGGAAGCTTTACAGTGGGACGTTGGGGTAGAGACCTAGGCTTGATGGTCTCCATTTCGATGCTATTTCTGAGTTGGATAGAGATAGGCTTGAGGTCCCATTTTTTGAAGAGGAAGTGTTGAAGGCTTTGTTGAGCTGCAACGGTGATAAAGCTCCAGGGCCAGATGGGTTTACTATGCGGTTTCTGATGGAGAGTTGGGAGGTGGTGCGAAGTAAGGTGATGGATACTTTCCAGGAATTTCATTCTCATGGCGTTTTCGAGAAGTCATTAAACGCTTCTTTTATTGCCCTTATTCCTAAGAAGGGCGACGATACTAATATCAAGGACTTTCGGCGAATCAGCTTAGTGGGATGCATTTACAAACTCATTTCCAAGGTTCTTGTTCTTAGGATGAGTAATGTTTTGGATGGAATTATTTCGGAGTCGCAGAATGCTTTTGTCGGAGGACGATAGATCTTGGATCATGTTCTTATAGCAGACGAATGTGTAACTTCCAGGTTGAGGAGTGGTCCCTTGCGTTTTATACAAGCTTGACACTGAAAAAACTTATGATCACGTCGTGATAACACGGATTTTTTAGATTTTAATTTATAATAATAATAAGAATAATTATTATTTTAGTCTTGAGTTCGTTTCAGTGGAGGTGTAATTATAGGTTTTTTTTTTATTTTTTATTTTTTATTTTTTTTATATAGTTTATATGTGTGTGTGTGTGTGTGTGTGTGTAATCAGATGGAAAAGGGAGAATGTGTCAAAATAAGAGAAGGAAAATTGGAAATGGTGATGATGTTGACGCGGGTCCCACAATAATTATTAATGGTAGTTGTTTTTGTTATATATATATATATTATATATATATATATGTAATGTCTGTTGAGTTATAAAGGAGGTAGTCGAAAGTGGGAAATGATGAAGCTTGTAATGATGTTTTGGCGGGCCCACAGGAGATGGAGTAATGGTTTGGAGTTGTTGACTTTTGTGTGCATGCATTAGGCTGGTGTAGTTTTAATTGTCACACGTGACTGGTGTAGTTTTAATTGTCAAGGAAATAAGGAGATAAGAAATGATGGGGAAGGAAAAAGGTGGTCTGCCGAAATTGAAAGAGAAGAGAAAGAATTGTAATGATGTTAGGACCCACTAGACTTTGCTTAGCTTTTTGCACGTGGGTTTGTTGGTTATTTTTTTTAGTCGGTGGAATTGTCTATATATTTGAGGATTGTGTGGCACTAACTTAGTATGCATAGAAGAGTTTAAACAGAGGAAAAAATTAGAGAGAGTTGAGATGAGAGACAGTGAGCCGAGAGCTCACACAGAGAGAGAGGTCCGAGAGTTACAGAGGCGGTCGGAGGCTTGAAGCCTGAAGCTTTGATGATCCAGTGAGGAAATAATTCTTTTTCAGTGTAGGGTTCTCTATACCTTGAATGGCTTGGAATTGTTTTGCTTCAATGGTTTTTATTAACTGTTTTAATTAAATGCATATGTATTTTGTTTATATACTTACATGAATATGTATATTTTGTGAAGTTGTTTTGTTAAACCTCCATGAAATTCTTGTTATGGTTTTTTTCCTACTGGACTTTTTATCTCACCACCCTCCAATTTCAGGTACCGAAGATGAATGGGGATTGTTAGATTCGCGCTTAGGCTGAAGAGTCGGTGTTGCAGGATTTATTTTATTTATTTTGGAGAATTTTTGTGTATTTTTGAGGAAATTGACTTTGTATAAAAGAGGGTATTTTTTTTTTTTTATTTTTTATTCTGGGTGTATTTTGATGTATTTGGATTTGAATAAATCGAGGATTTTATTTGAATTTTCGAGGCGTGACAAAATGGTATTAGAGCAATTTCTTAGAATTTTTGGGGCGTGACAAGATGGTATCAAAGTATTTTATTAAAAAATTTGGGTCGTGACAAAATGGTATCAGAACATTTTTTTAGAATTTTTGGGGCGTGACACACGTCAATTGGAATTTCCTTCTTTACTTGCTTCAGAGGATGGGGTTCGGAAGTAGGTGGAGGAAATGGATCGAAACATGTATTTCGTCTATTGAGTTCTCTGTTCTCGTGAGCGGTTCTCTTACTGGTTGCTTTGTAAGTTCTTGAGGTTTGAGACAAGGAGACCTCTTGTCGTCTTTTCTCTTCCTCATCGTTATGGAGGGTTTGAGCAGACTAATGAGGAGAGCTGAGGATTTGGGTTTTATCAGGGGCTTCAGAGTGGGCAGAGATGTAGCTCATTAGATGGAGATCTCCCATTTGTTATTTGCGAAGGATACCTTGGTTTTTTGTGATGCCGATGTTTCTCAACTTAGATATTTGAGGTGCATTCTTGTTTGTTTCTAGGCGGTTTCTGGGCTGAAGATCAATGTGTGAAAGAGTGCTTGTCCCGGTCGGGGATGTTCAGGATATTTCCTCTTTAACTGTAGTTCTTGGGTGTGGGGTGGACACTTTTTCTCTTCCTTATTTGGGATTGCCTTTGGGAGTCTCCTCTAGGAGGGTGGGGAGTTGGGATCCTGTAATTAATAGGTTTGAAAAAAGGTTGGCAGGATGGAAGAAGCAATATCTGTCGAAGGGGGGGAAGGTCACTCGTGTTAAGAGCACTTTCTCGTCCTTTCCCACTTACTTTTTATCTCTGTTTCAAATCCCATGCTCTGTTGCCGAAAGGATTGAAAAGATTCAAAAGGACTTTTTTTGGAGTGGAAGGGGAGAGGAGTTCAAGTATCATCTTGTCAAATGGGAGCAAGTTTGCAAGCCCTTGAAGCTAGGCGGTCTAGGTATTCGAAAGTTGGTTCCCTTTAACAAAGCTCTTTTGGGAAAGTGGTTGTGGAGATTCGGTAGGGAACTACATCGCCAGTGGAGAAGGATTGTTTCGTGTCGTTTTGGGGAGGAGAGCGGTGGTCAGTCTTCTTATCCAGTCTTTATCGCGGGAGGCGTTGGCGTGTGGAAATTCATTCGGAAGGGTTGGGATGTCTTTTCTTCCCATATAAGATTCAAGGTTCGCGATGGTAGACGTGTCCGATTTTGGGAGGATTTATGGTGTGGAGATCAGTTGTTGTCTTGCTCCTTTCCTAGACTTTATAGTATTGCCGATGATAGACATGCCTACGTAGCTGACTGTTATCGGCTTGATAGCAGTGGGATTACGTGGGATGTGTGCTTTAGGTGTTCTTTTCAGGATTGAGAGATGGATAAGGTATGTGCCTTTGTGGATATGTTGTATCAATAGGAGGAAGTTGGCAGAGGTAGTGATGACATTTTGTGGATTCTTCCTCCTATGGAAGATTTGGTGTCCGGTTTTTAACAAAAAAAAAAAGAAAAAGATTTGGTGTCCGGTCCATGTTTCTATACCTTTCTAACTTCGTTGGTCCTGTTTTCCCATGGAAGATTATATGGCGCTCCAAGGCTCCACTTAGAGCTGCATTCTTTGTTTGGACTGTCGTCTGGGGTAAGATCTTGACGCTGGACAATTTAAGGAAGAGAGGTAATACTATTGTTAATTGGTGTTGTCTATGCGAACGAGATGGTGAGTCGTGGATCACATTCTTATGCATTGTCCTGTGGCGTACGATTGTTGGAATCTCATCTTCGGCTTATTTGGCATACATTAGGTAATGCCTCGGTTTTCCAAAGGATTGATTAACGCGTGGAGAGGATGCTTAGTGAGAAGCCACGCTCGTAATTATTGGAGGATAGTTCCACACCGTATTTGGTGGTGCATATGGAAAGAGAGGAATATCAGAATTTTTGAAGGAAAGGAATCGCCTTTGGTGACTTTGAAACTTCATATTCTTCGCTCTATTTTTTGTTATGTGAAAGGAAGCACTTGCTCCTCTATTGATGACTTAGTTGATCTTTTGGACTCTATAGGTCCTTAGGTTCAGCTTCCGTTTTTATATAAGGGACGCCTTCCCCTTTTGAACGCTTTTCTAATCGATTATTACTTACCAAAAAAAAAATGTTATATTGGCCGAAAGTAATTGCCAGCTAAACTATCTGAATGTAATTTATTGGTCAAGCATGAGCACAAGTAGGATCCAGTTTTACCTTTAAAATGCCTTGGAAACTCCTTTTAAATTTGCCTAACTCATTTAGCTTACTCAGCTAAATTGTGTAGTTTAGAAATCTTCATATGGAAGATCCCCAATGTTTGAATTGTTGAACCTTCTGACGGATCACAAAGTTGCCTTGGTAAAATTGCAGTATCATGAATCCACGAATACTATATTAAGCCATAGTAAGAATTTGTGTATTTAAACATGCCAGTACTCAAGGTTCTGATATGGGTAAGTTTACACACACACACACACACAAAGGATAGACTTTGGTAATGCATTTATTACTTGAAAAGGTTTAAGCTTCCGGTATCATTACATTACACTTTCTCTAGTCTCACTTGTATCATTTCCATGCTTGCATTGCTTTATATCATGGTATTCTTGCATCTCGTTTGGTAGGGCAACAAATGGCTCTTCAAGTCTCGGAAAAAGTTGGAAACTCGAGAGGGTTGATTTTTGAAGCTTTATTGGATAACCTTCTCTTGTTTGGTAAGGCAACAAATGGCTTAACTAGGGGAAAAAAAATGGCTCTTCAAGTCTAAGAAAAAGTTGGAAACTCGAGAGGGTTGCTTTTTGAAGCTTTAGCGCGAATAACCTTCTCTTGTTTGGTAGGCTAACAAATGGCTCTTCAAGCCTAGGAAAAAGTTCGAAACTCGAGAAGGTTTCTTTTTTGAAGCTTTAGTGGATCACCAAATCGTATCATTTCCACAGTCAAGTAATGAGCTTGGGATTGAAGATCACTGAAGACTAGTGTTGGTTAGGAACTCACTGGTGGTGACCATGGAAAATTTAGAAATTAAAAGCAAACATTGGAAATATGGAGCTTGTAGTCTCCACTAATTTGGTTCATACCCCTCAAATATAATAGTTGAAGTTTGTGTAATTAGTTTTAGGGCTTAGATGAGAAGAAGAGAAGAAGAGAAAAAGAGAGAGGAGTTGTCTGGAAAAATATATTAAAACCAGCAAAGTATAATAATACCCTTGATAAAGAGTTAATATTACAATAATGTCCTTTAACACTCCCCCTCAAGCTGAAGCATACAGATTAAACATGCCTAGCTTGAAACATAACCGCTGAAATGCACCACGAGCTAACAGCTTCGTAAAAATATCACCCAATTGATCCTCAGAGCAAATATAAGGTGTAACAATCTGTTTCCGCATCAGCAAATCATGAATAAAATGACAATCAACCTTTATGTGCTTGGTGCGCCAATGAAAAACAGGATTGCTAGCAATAAAGATAGCGGCTTGATTGTCACAATGCGTAGGCATAGGAGTAGGAACATTAATACCCATCTCCAGAAGAAGAGAATGAACCTTTAACATCTCTGAAGTGGTGTGAGCCATAGCACGATACTTAGCCTCAGCCCTAGAATGAGCAACGACAACTTGCTTTTTATTGCGCCAAGTAACCAGATTACCACCAACAAATGTACAATAACCAGATGCAGAGCACGCGACTGCCAACCCAGTCAGCATCGCTGAAACCTGTCAAACATATGGGGGAAGAAGGTTTATACAACAACCCATTCCTAGGAGCATCTTTCAGATAACGCAAGATACGTCAAACAACCTCAAAGTGAGGCTGGCGAGGAGCATGCATATACTAACTTACCACAGCAACAACATAAGTAATATTAGGACGAGTAACAGTAAGATAAATTAGTTTCCCAACTAATCTACAACATCGGCTAACTACAGCAAATAACTCCCCCTGTAAACCATCAAGTTTGACTGTATAATCCATTGGAGTATCAACAGGTCGAGCACCTAAAAAACCGGTCTCAAATAGAAAGATCGAACACGTATTTCTGTTGAGATAGACAGATGCCCTGACTAGAACGGGCAATTTCAATCCCAAGGAAATATCGTAGGACACCCAAGTCTTTTGTATGGAATTATTGACCTAAATGTCGTTTCAATTATGCAATACCCGCGGAATCACTCCCAAATATGATAATATCATCAACATAGACAATCAAAACAATAGTGCCAGCACAAGAGTAACGAATAAAAACAGAAGTGGAGCATTGAAAACCAAAATCAATTACCACAACACTGAATCTATCAAACGATGCACGAGGGATTGCTTTAGACCATAGAGAGTCTTTCGGAGTTGACAAACTAGGTGCTCACTACCAACAACATAACCAGGCGGCTGGTCCATGTGAATTTCCTCTTGTAGGTCACCATGAAGATGATATAAAGGCCAGGAATAACAAACTGCCACAGAAAGAAGAACTCGTGGAGAAAAAGTCTCTAAGTAATCCACTCCATAAGTTTGTGTACCCTTTGGCAACCAAACGCGCCTTAAGGCGCTCAACAAAACCATCAGGAAGATATTTGATAGTATAATCCCTACTATAGCCTACCAATCGTTTTTCAGAAGGAAGAACAGTAAGCTCCCAGGTCTGATTCTGGTGAAGGGCACTACCTCGGCGCAATGCAATGGGAAAATCATCAACAGTAGAAGTGGATGATTGAGGAACAACAACCTTTGGCGGAGCAGATGTTGTGTCTGGACCATAGCAGACAACGGGTCGAGATTAAGACCGCTAATAAACTTGCAATGGAGGATTAGAAGGTGGAGGATTAGACGATGGAGCTAATGGCATCGGAAGAGTCGGGGAAAGACAAGGAAGGCTCCCCCTCACGAGTAGATATGAGATCCATGGACAAACACTGATGAGAGGACGAAAAGAAGGCGGTGGACTAAAAAAAAGTAACATCGGCCCTCACAAAATATCGACGCGACT